GTTGTGCAAAGGCCCTGTGATAAGACTGTGTCTGGTGGGCAGGGGTGCAGTGCCCCGTGGACAAGGGGAGCACAGGCTTACTTGAGCTTACTCACCATACCAGTCTGCAGTGAACGGTTCCCCATGGGTTTCCACCACAGTGAAATCGTTCCCTTCAGATTAACCAGTAAGCAGAGGCGGAGACCCCCAGGAAACCCAGTACTGTCCCTGTCGGGGATTGTAAATTTGAAGAGACATTTTGGTTGTATAGGAAGGGGTGGTGGAATTCGGGGAGAGACAGCTCCTAGCTATACCTAGAAGCAGGATCTTGGTTGTGGTGAAAAAATGTGAAATTACGCACAAGGAAGCCCGTGCTTAGCTTGCTGTTTGGGTATTCAGACACGGCAGGGGGGGGTCTGAGGGTCATGGCGGAGCCCAGGGTGGCTGGGGCTGAGGCCGGAGGGGACTCTGTTTTGTGCTGACACAGGTTCGGGCTGTCGTGTGGGGAAGACGGACAGTGGGGGCGGGGCAGAAGCAGACCCAGGAGGGAGGCGGGGGCAGGTCTGAATCCTTTACAAGGTTCCCTCAAGGGAGGCTTTTCCTAAACTCCGCCCCCAGATGAGGAAACAGGTGCAGAGAGGTTATGCCTCAAAAATCACACAAAAAGTCAGGAAACAAACAAAAATGTCACAGAGCCATTTAGTGACAGACCTGGGGTTCCAGTCTGAGGCCACCCACCAGCTCTGGTCCCCTCCCCACCTGCTGCCTGAGGAGGGCGTGACTGAGCCCCCATCACCTGCTGCTGTTAGGTTTGGTCAAGTCCAGTCGATTCTGAGTCAGAGCAACCCCATTTGACAGAGTGGACCTGCCCCACTGGGTTCCAAGGCCGTCATCTTTATGGAAGCAAAGACCCAGTTAACCACACCCACTGCCATGGAGTTGATTCTGACCCACAGCGCCCCTAGAGGACAGAGTGGAACTGCACCACAGGGTTTCCAAGGCTGTCAATCTTCACAGAAGCTGACTGCCTCATCTCTCTCACAGAGTAGCTCGTGGGTTTGAGCCAGGCTGTTGGTAAGAAGCCCAATGCTTTAACCACCGTGCCACCAGAGCTCCTGGTACAAGCTTCAGGCCCCACAAAACCCAGATCTATCCTGTCATAACCACACTACGCTCTTGTTGGTTGCCATTGAATTGCTTCTGACCCACAACGACTCGTGTGTGCAGAGTAGAAGTGCACCATGGGGTTTCCAAGGCTGGGAGCTCTCGGGAGCAGAAAGCCAAGCCCATCTTAGGAGGAGACTCCGAGTGGATTCAAACCGCTAGTCTTTTAGCTCGCGGTCAAACACTTAGCTGTTTGCACCACCCAGGCACTGCTATATCCTCCCCCATGGCAGCTGCAGCTTTGTCTGCTGCCCCACGGGCCGGGGGGCCCTCCTCCCTGCAGCGGCCCCCTGCCATCCGATCCAGCAAATCTCCACCTCCATTCCTCAGCTCAAATGGAGCGGTAGCTGCGTGCCCGACCCAGGGCGCACGCTGTGTGGGAACCAAACAGGCTTGTGACCCAGGGAGAGCGGCAGTCACTCACCCTGGGGCCAGCTTTGATTTACGAGGTGGGCAGCACCTGCCAGGGGACACACAGAGGGAAAGCAACCAGGCAGGCATCCGGGTGGGGCGCCCTCACCTCGGCATTCAAGCCCAGAGGGCTCACGGGGAAGCATTCCTGGCAGGAGACACGCAGGTGCCACGGCCCAGAGGTGGGACTAGTGCAGTGGGGCTGTGGCTGGACCATGCGGTAGGGGGGAGGAAGATGCGGACTGCTCAGAGGGCAGCCACCTTGGTTCGAATCCCAGCTCTGCTCTGTACTTGTGTGGCCTTGGCCAAACCAGTGCTCCTCCCTGGAGCTCCATTTTCTCATCAGTAGCATCTTTATCGAGTCCCTGGGTATTGCAAACGGTTAACACACTTGGCTCCTAACTAGAAAGGTTGCTGGTTCGAGCCCACCCACAGACGCCTTGGAAGAAAGGCCTGGTGATGTACTTCTGAAAAAATCAGCCATTGAAAGGCGCCAAGCGGCGCCTCCTCTGAGCTCACGCATCACCCAGGGTGGTCTCTATGCTTGTGCATTTTGCCTGAGACACAGTGAATGCAGATTACGAGGCAGGCACTCTGTTAGCTATCTTCTGTCTGTTGACTCACTGAGCCCTCCCCGAGCCGTATGTATTTATCCATTTAACAGACATTAATATAGTACTTAAGGAGCGCTGGTGGTGCAGTGATGAAGGGGTTTGGCCGTTAACGAAAAGGTTGGTGGTTCGAACCCACTGGGCACTCTGTGGGAGGAAAATGAGTCAGTCTGCTTCATAAAGATTGACAGCCTTGGACACCCAATGGGTGAATTGGAATCGACTTGATGGCAGTGAGTTTGGGTTTTTTGGACAATAGTGCTTACCCCTTATGGTTCTAAGTATGTTACATGCTCACCAGAAGCCTAGAAGGTGGAAAGCAAAGCCCAAACCACACCCACTGCTGTGGAGTCGGTTCCAACCCACAGCGCCCCTAGAGGACAGAGTGGAACTGCACCACAGAGTGTCCAACGCTGTCAATCTTTACAGAGGCAAAGCCCAAACCACACCCACTGCAGTGAAGTCGATTCTGACCCACAGCGCCCCTAGAGGACAGAGTGGAACTGCCCCACAGGGTCTCCAAGGCTGTCAATCTCCACAGAAGCAAAGCCCTAACTAATGTCGTGGAGTCCATTCTGATTGACAGTTCTTATCATCTCCGTTTTATGGAGGAAGAAACCAAGCCACAGGGAAGTGACTTGCCCAAAAACACACAGCTGGTGGGGTGTAGGATTCAAACCACGTAGTCTTGCCCCAGGGTTTGTGCCATTTACCGTTAGGCCACGTCTCGTATCCCTATTGCACAGTTGAGGAAACTGAGGCACAGAGAGGTTAAGATTAAGGAGCTGTCCTCAGATGAGCTAAAAACTGGCAAAGTCAGGCCGAGCTCAGGACATCCAGAGCTGCATTCTGACCCCGGCCTGTGCCAGTTTGGATACTCAGAAAACACCTGTATCAGGACACACCTGTCTCAGTAGTTCTCAGACTGGCTGCCCATTCAAATTCCCTGCAGAGGCTTTAAAGCACCCAAACCCCAGAACCCTGTGTGGCCAGTGTGGTGACCAGCCCTACTTGTCCCCACTGGATCAGCCCCCAGTCAGGATGAAGGGGACCTTTCTCCTGCAGGTCACAACCCACGCACCCCGCTTCCCTTCCAGGCTCTCTGTCACTGTCTGGCTGTCTGGGCCACACCTTCCCCACAGTCCCCAGGGTCCTTCTTTGAGACCAGACAAGAAAGCCCACGTCTCCAGCCTGCGTCCCTCTGTCCCAAGCCTGACCCTGGTGCCGGGCCTTGGGGAAGGCCAAGTCTCTAAAGCCAACAAAGGCCTTTGGGGAAGACGCCGCAGACCCATGCGCCACTCACAGCCTTGGTTTCCTCATCTGCAACTGGACGGATGAAGAGCTAATAGAAACAGCACAGAAAAACTAATAGAAACAGCACTGTCAGCCTCAGTAGGCCCAACACCCGCTTCCTTTTTTATTATAAACATTTTTGTTTGAGTGGGAAGAGGTGTTTTTCTTCCCCCTGTTAGCTATTCATTCATTCATTTCTCATAAAATAAAATTCACAAAAGCACCGTGCACTGAGCTCTGTGGACAGCTTAATGAGCTCTGCAAAGTGGGGACACCAGATAACCAGTCCCCCAGAAGTCTTCTCCTATCCCTTTCCTTGGTCACCCCCCACCAACAAGGACAGCCCGTGCTGGCGGCCAACACTACTTCCTCCTGTTTTGAGCTTCCCGTTGGTGTAGTCCCACCTCTTAGGTCTCTGATGCTTCATTCAAAGAGCTCTGGTAGCGCAGTGGTGAGGGCATTCAGCTACTAACCAAAAGGTTGGTGGTTCGAACCCACTGACCGCTCCACGGGAGAAAGCTGAGGTAGTCTGTTTCCGTAAAGACTTAGAACTTTGGAAACCATATGGGGGGGGGGCTTCTACTGTGTCCTCTAGGGTCTCTGGGAGTCAGAATCGACTCGATGGGCATGGGTTTGGGGTGCTTCACTCAGCGTCCTGTCTCTAAGCATCTCTGCATAGTCGGGCCCAGAGCCCCTTTATAGAGCAAATACTTATAACATCCTTGTCACTGTCCCGAAATGGAATTTGTAGATGATATAGCCTCCTCACAGGCATCATCTTTTGAAGTTCGGTATATTGTCCTGAGTGTATGACAAAGGGACACAGATGGACAGCAGGGCCGTGCAGTGCGATTAAGACAGGGTTTTGCTTCTGTGAAGACTGACAGCCTTGGAGGCCCTGTGGTGCAGTTCCACTCTGTCCTCTAGGGGCGCTGTGAGTCAGAATCGACTCCAGGCAGTGGGTTTGGTTTGGGCTTTGCTTCCATAAAGATTGACAGCCTTGGAGACCCTGTGGGGCAGTTCCACTCATGGCTCCCCCATGTGTTACAAAGTAGAACTGAACTCCATTGTGTTTTCTTGGCTGTAATTTTTATAGAACCAGATTGCCAGACCTTTCTGCCGTGCCACCACTGGGGTCAAAGTGCTAACTTTCTAGTTACACGTCTACGCATCTAGTGCAAACTGCACCATCCCAGTACTCCTGGGTCAGAGAGTAAGTGTATGGAAAGTCCCCACTGGAGGGCCCTATTGCACCCCCAATTTTGCAGATGAGGAAATGAGGTCAAGAAATTAGAGAAAATTCCATTTGTCACTTGGGCAGCCCTGAGAGCCCCCCCACCTGCTTGCCCTCCCGCACCTGCCCTAACTTTTCTCTCTCACTTTCCACCGTGTGTCCTTGAAGCTCCCACTGTATAGCTAGACAGCCAAGGCAGACTCCTGGAACGCCGGGATCCCCTGATCCTCCCACCCTCCCACCCCTCAGGGTGACCTGTGCCCATCACTTCCTCCCTGGTCCTCATGGCATCTCCCCTCCCCCCACAGCAAGAAGTTACCAGGCGAATACTTCCGGTACAAGGGCATTCCCTTCCCCAAGGGCCTCTACTCACCCGAGAGCATCAGCCTGGCGGAGAACGCCTTGGACGTGCGGGATGACGACATCTTCATCGTCACGTACCCCAAGTCAGGTACCTGAGCGGCGGGGAAGGGGCGCGGTGGAGTGGGGGGTGGAGGGTGGCACCGAGGAGCTGCGTTCATGCACCGTTTTTAGCCTGGGAGGTTTGTTTTGGGTTGGTAACTGCTGTATTAGTTTGGGTAAAGATTGACAGCCTGGGAAACCCTGTGGTGCAGTTCTACTCTGTCCTGTAGGGGCGCTGTGGTTCAGAATAGACTCCATAGCAGTGGATGTGGTTTGGGCTTTGCTTCCCTGCAGATTGACAGCCTTGGAGACCCTGTGGGCAGTTCCACTCTGTCCTCTAGGGGCGCTGTGAGCCAGAATCAACTCCAGGCAGTGGGTGTGGTTTGGGCTTTGTTTCTGTGAAGATGGATAGCCTTGGAGACCCTGTGATGCAGTTCCACTCTGTCCTCTAGGGGCGCTGTGGGTCAGAATCAACTCCAGGCACTGGGTTTGGTTTGGGCTTTGCTTCCCTGAAGATTGACAGCCTAGGAGACCCCATGGTGCAGTTCCGCTCTATCACACAGAGTCACAATGAGTAGGAATGGACGCCATGGCACCGGGCAAAAGACAAATGTTTTAATTTCTCTTGCACCACTGTGAACTCTGACAGACATACACAGTGGCCACCACTACCATCAAGTTACAGAGCAATTCCATCACCCCTCAGAATTCCCCCAGGCCCTTGGTAGTCAGCCCAATCCCTTCTCCAGCCCCTGCCAACCACTGACCTCTTTGCTGGCCCGAGTTTTGCTTTTTCCTGAACATCACGTAAATGGAGATAACACAATGCATGGTTATCGAGATAGACTTCTTTCACTCATAATACATTTTAATTTATTTTTTGTTTTGCCTTAGACTTTATTTTTTAACTTTTCCTTGTGAATTGGTTTTCCGTTCACTCATTCGTACACATTTCGTTCTGGGACACCGAACCCAGTCCCCACAAGGGTACAGTCACCTTCTCCCTTCCTCCCTGTGTTTCCCATTTGGAGTATGAACACAGGTGCTAGGAACCTCTGTGAACACATCCACGTGTAGAGACGTGGTTTCATTTCTTCTGGGCAAAAATACACAGGAGTGGGCTGGATGGATGTGGTAAGTGTCCTGCCTAAAGGAACTAGTGTTACCATTTTTCATCCCACCCACAATGTCCACGAGTTCCAGCTGCTCCACGTATTTAGAACAGCAGTTGGCATCTTCTGGTTTATTAACCATTCTGACAGGTGTGTATGTGTCACTCATTATAGTTTTGATTTGCTAATGATGTTGTGAAATGGTGATAAGAGGGTCTGAACCCATCTAACTTGAGAGGGGATAATGACCAGGATCCACCCAAAACTGATTCCTGTGAGTGGGAGGTTGGACATAACTCCACCCCAACTCTTCTATGGAGTCTCACACCAGCATCCCTCCCATAGCACTCTCTACCTCTTTTCTGGGTTCAGTGATCTGTTGCAATGGTCACAAAAAACTCAGATCATAATTACATGCAGTTAAGTGGTTTATTAAGGAAGTTACAGGGTACGACTTGAGATGAGAATCTAAAGCTTGCAGGCCAATTCTCCCTCTTTCAGGGAGAGACGGGTCTCTTGGCTCCTCCTGGCCACATAGGCTGCCTCTTGGCCCTTTCAGGACAACACTCCTCTCAGCCCTGCCGTCTCTTGACACTGGCTTTGCCGCTGGGCCCTTTCTGGGCCCATTGCCATCTTCAGTGTTAGAACCTTTGACCTCACAGTGTTACAGTTCCTTGAAGCGATTTCTAGTCTTCTTCTCTTCCTCTTCCTTGTACTTTTATCTGCGTCCTGTCTTCCTGCTTGTTTCTATCTTGGAAACCTCTTTGGGGTTGGCTGCTTCTATATACAGTTCCCTGGCAATTTCAAGTCACGACCCTCCCACCAGGCCATTAACTGACCAATCTCCTCTCCTCTCTCAGGAGGCCACAGACACCTCATTTGCATATTCTACTGACCAATCCCTACAGGGTACTTAGGGCCACACAAAAAGTATCAAGCCATCACCCTGTTTACAGCTTTACCCAGGAAATGTCAATCAACCTGGACAAAAGAGACAGACCCCTAGGGTGGAAAACTAGGGCAAAAGTAATTCCTCAGGGCTTAGGAGAAGAGTCTCTGAAGCCATTTTTCCAAAGAACCGAGGTGGAAAGTCACACTACGCCACACATGCTGAGTATATTTTCATGTATTTGTTCACCACCATCTGTCTCCTTCCATAATGTGCTCAAATCTTTTCTCCCTTTTTCAATTGCATTATATTCTTCTTATTGAGGTTTACAAATTCTTAATATAATCTGAGGACAAAGCTTTCATCAGATTAACGTTTTGCAAGTATTTTTCCCCCGTCTGTGGCTTGCTTTTTCCATTCTTTTCAACGTCTTTGCAGAACAGAATCGCTTGTTGATGAAATCTGATTTGTCAGTTTGTTCTTTGATGAAGTGTACTGCTATTCAATGTTTCATTGACTTTGTTATTGAGAAAATCCTTCAAGTCAACAATGTCGGCAAATACAGTTCACTGACGCTGATGGCATTTTGCAAGTTGTGCAAACATTCTCACCCTCCTTTTTTGAGCTGTTCTTCCCTCATTAACAGAAACTTACTGGCCTGTAAGCTCCTGGAACTGGAAGGGGGAGTCCAAGAAACTGCGGCAGACAGCTTTTTGGAGGTCCAGAACCGCAGGGGAAGTCAGGAAGTGGGAGTGAAGCAGTTGGAACAGCTAAGGGAGACGAACTCATTTGTCGGTTTGTCGTCCTGTGGTGGATTGTGGGTTGCTGTGAGGTTTGAGCTATGCCCCCGGTGTTTCAAGTGCCAACAGGGTTAGC